CCTCAGCACTCTACACCAGGGCTGGAAGGTTCAAACCCAGCCATGGCCTGCCAAACAACAATGATAACTACAACAAAAAATATTCAGGTGTTGGGGTGGGCTCCTTTAGTCCCAGCTACTTGGGAGGCTGAGGCAAGAGAATCACTCAAGCCCAAGATTTTGAGGTTGCTGTAAGCTATGATGCCATGGCACTCTACCAATAGCAACACAATGAGACTCTATCTCAAAAAATAAAAATAAAAATAAAAATAGATAAAGTAGTTTAACATAGTAAATGGCATATGAACTTTATGGACACCTTGTACATGTAGGCTGCAAATAACAAGACAAAGGTGTTCAACTATGTGGTCATGTTCATTAACAAACCTTGTTGGATCCCTGGGAGACGGTCCCCCTGAGCAGGGCCCTGAAGGATATTGGGGCTCTGTGTGGGGGCTCCAGCTTCCTCACATGGATGGTGATCTCTGACCCTGTGTCCCCACCCCTAGGGTTCCAGGCCCAGCCAGAGCTCCTGGAGGTGTTCAGCACTGAGTTCCAGATGCGCCTCCTCTGGGGCAGCCAGGGTGCCAGCAGCAGCCAGGCCCGACGCTATGAAAAGTTCGACAAGGTCCTCACTGCCTTGTCCCACAAACTGGAGCCTGCTGTCCGCTCCAGTGAGCTGTGACCCCCAAAGACCTATCCCCTCTGTGGCTGTGGGGCAGAGGGGCACAGACCTTTCCCCAGAGCACCCCAGGGACACTGTGATCAGCCCAAGAATGTTCTGGGTTCAACTCCAGGATCTCCTTTGCACCTCCAGGGTCCTGTGTGGACTCTGGGCTCCACTCCATTCTACCACTACCACGGCTACATACTCGTCAAGTCTCCCTTGGGGAAGAACAGGAACCCTTGTTCCTCCCACCAGCTTTTGCTGCTTCCCTTCCTATGGAAGTTCCCTGTTTTTGAGCCAGGGGAGGCTCCTCATGACTCCTCAATCTCCATCTGTCCCTCACCAACACCAGGTCCTCCATCTTGCTGTAAATAAGCCCATCTGTTCTGTAAATAGATGTACAGAAGCCATGTTCTTTCTTTCATATAATAAACTTTTATGACTCTTTTTTCTGTCTCTCAGGGGGTCCTGGGGTGGAAGGAAGCTCCCTTTCTCAGGTGAAAAGTGGAAAACTTCATTCAACAAATATTTCTTGGTTGGGTGCAGTGGCTCACACCTTTGGGAGGCTGAAGCAGGAGGATCACTTGAGCCCAGGGTTTTGAGGCTTCAGTGAGCTATGATAACACCACTGTACTCTGGCCTGGGCAATAGAGACTTTCTCAAAAAAACCCAAAACAACAAGGCCCAAAATACTTTTTTAGCACCTGGAACATTCCAGATTTTGCCAGGAGCCAGGGAAAATGCTAAAACTTCATCCTTGCCCTGAAGTGGGAGAAATTTTGGCCTACTCTCACTCCTACCCTATGCCCTGCCCCAGGGAGCCACAGCAATAGTTTCTGCAAACACATAACCAAGGATCTGAGTATTTGGAGTGGAAGAGCTTTTTAAATCTAATATTCTAATTCCCCTCTGGAGAATTAAGGCCTGGAGGCAGAGGGATCTTTCTCAGAGCAGCAAAGTGAGGAAGGCTACAACTCTGACCAAGAGTCCTTTCCTTTTCTCTCCTTAGTAGTGAGAACTACTAATGTCTTTTTAGGCTTTGAAATGTGGCCCCAGAAATCTTGGAGGGAATTGTGAGGGAGGTGGGGAGAGAGAGAGAGGGCTAGGAGTGGTGGCTTATGCCTGTAATCTTAGTACTCTAGGAGGCCAAGGCGGGTGTATTGCTTGAAAACACGAGTTCGAGACCAGCCTGAGCAAAAGTGAGACCCCATCTCTACTAAAAATAGAAAAACTGAGTCGAGAGCATCGCTTGAGCCTGAGTTGGAGGTTGCTGTGAGCTATGACACCACAGCACTCTACCCAGGGTGACAGCTTGAGACTATCTCAAAAAACAAAACAAAACAAAAAGAGAGAGACAGTAGGTGTCTAGGCAGGGCTGCGCATGAAGGCAGTTTTCTTGGTTCCCTTCCTTACTCCAGTGAGTGGAGGAGGTAGGCAGTTTGGATCAGCACCATTCCAGGCCCACCTGGAGGCCTGGGGAGCCTGTTCACTGAATCTGATAGGCCTGGAATCTTTTGCCTTCTGAATTCTTTGACCAAGAGAGGCTGATAGCTTATGACTTAGCACATTAGATCCTCGGCAACAGCCAAATTTGGTTTTAGTTCTACCTTGTGCCAGCTGAGTGACCTCAGATAAGAGGCTTTACCTGTTGGGCCCTAAATTCCTCCTCAGTATATGGGGACAACAACAGAAGATATCTTCTAGGATTGATGGTGAGCACCCAGTACACAGTTGCTGCTAGGAAGGGGACAGCCATTTCACACATAATGGATTGCCAAAGAACATTTGTTGATGACTTTCTGAGCCAAAACACTCTTTGTGCCTGTATCACATTGAAATACAACCATTTATTGACTCAGCGCCTGTGGCTCAAGTGGCAAGGCGCCAGCCACATACACCTAAGGTAGCGGGTTCGAATCCAGCCCGGGCCCGCCAAACAACAATGACGGCTGCAACCAAAAAAAAAGCCAGGCATTGTGGCAGGCACCTGTGGTCCCAGCAACTTGGGAGGCTGAGGCAGGAGACTCACTTGAGCCCAGGAGTTAGAGGTTGCTGTGAGCTGTGATGCCACGGTACTCTACCCAGGGGGACAGCTGACAGCTTGAGGCTCTGTCTCAAAAGAAAAAAAGAAATATCACCATTTATCTGTATGGCAAGTACTATATCATAAGATATTTAAAGCACCTAATACTAATGGCACATGGTAGGTGCTCATGAAAAGCTGTTAGTGAAGCCCTTTTCTCTTAGGAAAAAGCATGGAAAGGCTCTTTTCAGGTTGTAAGGTTCTGCACAAGTTTGCGCTGTAATCGTTACGTCGCCCTTTGTGGTCATAATCCTTTATTTATTCTTCTTTCCGAGCGGCTATGATGGTTCCCTAGTTACCGTGGCCATGGAAACGCAGCGGCAGTCCTAGATGGGCCAGTTCTCGGGTTCCCCCTAGAGGTCACCCTCCGGTCCTGCCGCCGGACAAGGACCACAGGACCGGTGTGAGAAATCAGAGAAAGGGAAGTCGGGAGTTGTAGGCGATGGGTGTGGTTGTGGCGGAGCGGTTCACACCGGGAGTTGTAGTTCTCAGCCGAGGCGGTTGGCGGTACCCACGCCGGGTTTGGGCTTCACCCGGATGGCGGCTGCCACGCGCGGCTGCCGGCCCTGGGGCTCACTTCTCGGTTTGCTCGGGTTAGTCTCGGCCACGGCCTCTGCCTGGGACCTGGCTTCTCTGCGCTGCAACTTCGGCGCCTTCTGCGAATGCGACTTCCGGCCCGACCTGCCGGGTGAGCCTGGAACCGAGGGGTGGGCGGACGCCGGAGCTCGATCTTGACCCAGCCAGAACATCAGTGACCCAGAGGGCAGAATCGGGAGGTGGACCCAAGGATTGCGGGCGGCCGGGCCAAAGGCGGGCCTGGCTTCTAGGGCACTTGAGACCCTGGGGTGTGGAACTGATATGAGGCTTTGGGGGTGTTTGGGAAGAAATTCGGACCTCCATGGAGCGGACTGGCCGTCAAGGGCGAAACCTGCTTTGGGGTCTGTAGGGGTCTGGGGCGCACCCTGTTGACAGTTCGCACCTACGTAGAGCCGAGCGAAAGCTAGAGGATCTCCCGGTAGGGGGCGCTGCCGAGCTGAGTTAGGCCTGGAGGTGGCTGTTACCGCCGGAGACCCCAGAGTCCCCAGGCCCTGTGCATAGACAGCTTAGACAGACGTAAGAACACAGGAATCCCAGACCAGGTTCCAGACACGACTTTCACCTTCAACCTGTGCATTGGTGGGATGTTCTCAGCTCTTAAACCGTCCTTCTATGGCCCTAGGACTGGAATGTGACCTGGCCCAGCACTTGGCGGGCCAGCATCTGGCCAAAGCGCTGGTGGTGAAGGCGCTAAAGGCCTTCGTGAAGGACCCAGCCCCCACCAAGCCGCTGGTCCTGTCCCTGCACGGCTGGACTGGCACTGGCAAGTCCTACGTCAGCTCCTTGCTGGCGCGCTACCTCTTCCAGGGCGGCCTCCGCAGCCCCCGCGTGCACCACTTTTCACCTGTCATCCACTTCCCCCACCCCAGCCACATCGAGCGCTACAAGGTAAGCTGGGCAACTGGACTACAGCTTGCCTGTGCTGCGGAGCGATAGACCGTTAGGGAGTGAGTCCTGAGCCCAGAGAGGGGAGTCACTTACTCCAGCCCACACAGCCTGTTGGAGCCCCAGCCCTCAGGACCCATTCTTCACAGACCTCGGGGGAAAAAGCCATTCTACCTTGCAGAGAGCTCTGGCATTCTTTGGGAGCAGTAATAATACCTACCTGCCAGGACTGTTATAAGGAACATGATGTAACTGCAGGTATTATTTATTGAGCACTTGTCAGGCAGCACCAATTTGTGGCTCAGAGTAAGCACTCGGTAAGTCTTAGCTCTTACTGGTGTTGTGGATTGCAAAGTACTTCCCAATCTGATCTGTTTCAGCTGTTAACACTGTAGGGAAGGTTCAGGAAGCCAGAAGAAGATTTACCCTTTTATAGAAAGTGGTCTGTGTCATGGAAGGAGCCTTGAACAGGGAGGTTGGGGGGCTGGGTGTTAGTGTCTATTTTGCTGACTGGCTGTGTGGCTTTGAGCAGGTCTCTACCCCTCTGGGCCAGAGTTTCCCATCAGTCTCATTAAGAGGTTGGTGCTGTCTGGGAGACCTTATCTTCCTGGCAAAGGGATTAGTTCTTGGCTTGGAAAGAAGCACCTTGAACTTCTCTTTCTCCCCCTTAGAAGGATCTTAAGAGCTGGGTCCAGGGGAACCTCACTGCCTGTAGCCGCTCCCTCTTCCTCTTTGATGAGATGGACAAGATGCCCCCAGGCCTGATGGAAGTTCTAAGACCTTTCCTGGGCTCTTCCTGGGTTGTGTATGGGACCAACTATCGAAAAGCCATCTTCATTTTCATCAGGTGGGGCCTGGCTTTGCAGTGGACACAATGCGGGGGGATACTTCTCAGGTCCACCTATACAGCCTTGGCCTATGCTCCCAGTAGAATACTGTTCTCCCTGGGCCAGGGGGCTTTCCCTGAGCCCACCTCCACCTCCCTCCATGCTCTTGTTGCTGACATTGTCATTGAAGGTGGTTGACTTTCTCAAAGCCTGTTCTGAGCTCAGCCTTTTTGATCTTCACCAATTATTTGTGGAAGCCCTTCCAGACAGAATTTTCTCTCTTTTCGTGGCCCAGAGGACACAGGAATGGGAAAAACAGGACTAGAGTTCTGAGTTCTCATCCTCTAGTTCCAGAGTCCTAGATGTGTTTTCGTAGGAAAAATTCTTCACCTCTCTGAGCTTCTGTCTCCTCTTCTAAACAGTGGGGCGCCCCATTGTCCTCCTAGAGGCTGGGTGAGAGAAAGTCAATGAAGGAGCACAAAGCTGTTCTGTAAACTATACAGTAAGGGCACATACAGGTGAAGTACAGGGGCTGTGGACACAAGTATCCAGTATACACTGGAAGCTGTGTATTTCCAGTATACACTGAAAGCTGTGTATTTCCAGTGCCAGAACTGAGCTGGGCTCCCAGATCTTGTTAGATGGCACCAGGGAAGTGAGGGCCAAATCCTGCCCCTTCCTGGTTGTTGTCTCAGCCTGGGTTCTTCATGGTTTTAGCAATACTGGTGGTGAGCAGATCAACCAGGTGGTATTGGAGGCGTGGCGCAGCCACAGGGAACGGGAGGAGATCCGCCTGCAGGAACTGGAGCCGGTCATCTCCCAGGCTGTGCTGGACAACCCAAACCGTGAGTCTGGCTCACAGGCCCCATCCAAGGGTGGCTTCACACCCAGACCCAGTGGGCTGACTTCCCTGGGTGGGCCAGGCACTCCTGGGGACTGAAGCTTTGCTCACTGACCTGGTAGTTGGGAGCCCAGGTGTTGGCACTCCCAGCTCTGTGACCTTGGGTGAGTCATAACCCCCTGAGCCCTATGTCTGAAAGGTGGCTGAGAGGATTGAGGCCAGCGGATGGAAAGGATGGAGCCTCCACTGCCACTGGGGGTAAGGCTGGCCTTTCCCCACCTGTGAAGCTCAGGGTCTTCTGCCCACCACCCTTTCTGCAGATGGCTTCTGGCATTCAGGCATCATGGAGGAGCACCTCCTGGACGCAGTGGTGCCCTTCCTTCCCCTCCAGCGGCACCACGTACAGCACTGCGTACTCAATGAGCTGGCTCAGCTGGGCCTGGAACCACAGGACGAGGTTGTCCAGGCTGTGCTGGATAGCACCACCTTCTTCCCTGAGCACGAGCAGCTCTTTTCCTCCAATGGCTGCAAGACTGTGTCTTCCCGAATTGCTTTCTTTCTCTGACTCCCTGGGTGGCATTCTTGCCCTTCTCCACTGGCCAGGCTTATAGGAAAGGCCTGAGGCCTCTGTCAAGAGGGACCCTTGCGGGTGGCACCTGTGGCTCAAAGGAGTAGGGCGCCAGCCCCATATACTGAAGGTGGCAGGTTCAAACCGGCCTGGCCAAAAAAAAAAAAAAA